TTGAGTGAGCCCCAGACGTAGGTGCATGATGCCCCCAGTTTCGTTTTTGTGCAGTAAGTCCCATAGCAAGGGCTGTCAGCGCCAGCCGACATGGCTCTCATGAGTCGCGGTCTAAAGGTACCTTAACAAAGATGGATTTTGACAAACTATACCTTGGTGGATAGCGGATGAATAGGCAACAAGCTGACAAATCGGCAAGGCTTCAGACTTGAAACTTGTGGAGTGAGCCCCAGACGTAGGTGCATGATGCCCCAGTTTCGTTTTGTGCAGTAAGTCCCATAGCAAGGGCTGTCAGCGCCATCCGACATGGCTCTCATGAGTCGCGGTCTAAAGGTACCTTAACATGGATGGATTTTGACAAACTATACCTTGGTGGATAGCTGATGAATAGGCCAACAAGCTGACAAATCGGCAAGGCTTCAGACTTGAAACTTTGAAGTGAGCCCAAGACGTAGGTGCATGATGCCCCCAGTTTCTTTTTTGTGCAGTAAGTCCCATAGCAAGGTCTGTCAGCGTCAGCCGACATGGCTTTCATGAGTCTCGGTCTAAAGGTACCTTAACATGGATGGATTTTGACAAACTATAGCTTGGTGGATAGCGGATGAATAGGCCAACAAGCTGACAAATCGGCAAGGCTTCAGACTTGAAACTTTTGGAGTGAGCCCCAGACGTAGGTGCATGATGCCCCCAGTTTCGTTTTTGTGCAGTAAGTCCCATAGCAAGGGCTGTCAGCGCCAGCCGACATGGCTCTCATGAGTCGCGGTCTAAAGGTACCTTAACATGGATGGATTTTGACAAACTATACCTTGGTGGATAGCGCAAGAATAGGCCAACATCTGACAAATCGGCAAGGCTTCAGACTTGAAACTTTTGGAGTGAGCTCCAGACGTAGGTGCATGATGCCCCCAGTTTCATTTTGTGCAGTAAGTCCCATAGCAAGGGCTGTCAGCGCCAGCCGACATGGCTCTCATGAGTCGCAGTATAAAGGTACCTTAACATGGATGGATTTGACAAACTATACCTGGTTGGATAGCTGATGAGAAGGCCAACAAGCTGACAAATCGGCAAGGCTTCAGACGTGAAACTTTTGGAGTGAGCTCCAGACGTAGGTGCATGATGCCCCCAGGTTCGTTTTTGTGCAGTAAGTCCCATACAAGGGCTGTCAGCGCCAGCCGACATAGCTCTCATGAGTCGCTGTCTAAAGGTACCTTAACATGGATGGATTTTGACAAACTATACCTGGTGGATAGCGGATGAATAGGCCACCAGCTGACAAATCGGCAAGGCTTCAGACTTGAAACATTTGGAGTGAGTCTCAGACGTAGGTGCATGATGCCCCCAGTTTCGTTTTTGTGCAGTAAGTCCCATAGCAAGGGCTGTCAGCGCCAGCCGACATGGCTCTCATGAGTCGCGGTCTAAGGTACCTTAACATGGATGGATTTTGACAAACTATACCTTGGTGGATAGCGCAAGAATAGGCCAACAAGCTGACAAATCGGCAAGGCTTCAGACTTGAAACTTTTGGAGTGAGCCCCAGACGTAGGTGCATGATGCCCCCAGTTTTGTTTTTGTGCAGTAAGTCCCATAGCAAGGGCTGTCAGCGCCAGACGACATGGCTCTCATGAGTCGCGGTCTAAAGGTACCTTAACATGGATGGATTTTTACAAACTATACCTTGGTGGATAGCGGATGAATAGGCCAACAAGCTGACAAATCGGCAAGGCTTCAGACTTGAAACTTTTGGAGTGAGCCCCAGACGTAGGTGCATGATGCCCCAGTTTCGTTTTTGTGCAGTAAGTCCCATAGCAAGGGTTTTCAGCGCCAGCCGACATGGCTCTCATGAGTCGCGGTCTAAAGGTACCTTAACATAAATGGATTTTGACAAACTATAGCTTGTTGGATAGCGGATGAATAGGCCAACAAGCTGACAAATCGGCAAGGCTTCAGACTTGAAACTTTTGGAGTGAGCATCAGACGTAGGTGCATGATGCCCCCAGTTTCGTTTTTGTGCAGTAAGTCCCATAGCAAGGGCTGTCAGCGCCAGCCGACATGGCTCTCATGAGTCGCGGTCTAAAGGTACCTTAACATAGATGGATTTTGACAAACTATACCTTGGTAAATAGCGGATGAATAGGCCAACAAGCTGACTAATCGGCAAGGCTTCAGACTTGAAACTTTTGGAGTGAGCCCCAGACGTAGGTGCATGATGCCCCCAGTTTCGTTTTTGTGCAGTAAGTCCCATAGCAAGGTCTGTGTAGCGCCAGCCGACATGGCTTCATGAGTCGCGGTTTAAAGGTACCTTAACATAGATGGATTTTGACAAACTATACCTTGTTGGATAGCTGATGAGAAGGCCAACAAGCTGATAAATCGGCAAGGCTTCAGACTTGAAACTTTTGGAGTGAGCTCCAGACGTATGTGCATGATGCCCCCAGTTTCGTTTTTGTGCAGTAAGTCCCTTAGCAAGGGCTGTCAGCCCAGCCGACATGGCTCTCATCAGTCCGGTCTAAAGGTACCTGAACATGGATGGATTTTGAGAAAACTATACCTTGTTGGATAGCTGATGAGAAGGCCAACAAGCTGATAAATCGGCAATGCTTCGGACGTGAAACTGTTGGAGTGAGCTCCAGACGTAGGTGTATGATGCCCCCAGTTTCGTTTTTGTGCAGTAAGTCCCATAGCAAGGGCTGTCAGCGCCAGCCGACATAGCTCTCATGAGTCGCTGTCTAAAGTTACCTTAACAAAGATGGATTTTGACAAACTATACCTTGGTGGATAGCGGATGAATAGGCAAAACGCTGACAAATCGGCAAGGCTTCAGGCTTGAAACTTGTGGAGTGAGCCCCAGACGTAGGTGCATGATGCCCCCAGTTTCGTTTTTGTGCAGTAAGTCCCATAGCAAGGGCTGTCAGCGCCATCCGACATGGCTCTCATGAGTCGCGGTCTAAAGGTACCTAACATGGATGGATTTTGACATGCTATACCTGGTGGATAGCTGATGAATAGGCCTACAAGCTGACAAATCGGCAAGGCTTCAGACTTGAAACTTTTGGAGTGAGCCCCAGACGTAGGTGCATGATGCCCCCAGTTTCGTTTTTGTGCAGTAAGTCCCATAGCATTGGGTTAGCGCCAGCCGACATGGCTTTCATGAGTCGCGGTCTAAAGGTACCTTAACATGGATGGATTTGACAAACTATACCTGTTGGATAGCTGATGAGAAGGCCAACAAGCTGATAAATCGGAAAGGCTTCAGACGTGAAACTTTTGGAGTGAGCTCCAGACGTAGGTGCATGATGCCCCCAGTTTCGTTTTTGTGCAGTAAGTCCCTTAGCAAGGGCTGTCAGCGCAAGCCGACATGGCTTTCATAAGTCGCGGTCTAAAGGTACCTTAACATAAATGGATTTTGACATGCTATACCTTGGTGGATAGCAGATGAATAGGCAACAAGCTGACAAATCGGGAAGGCTTCAGACTTGAAACTTTTGGAGTGAGCCCAAGACGTAGGTGCAAGATGCCCCCAGTTTCTTTTTGTGCAGTAAGTCCCATAGCAAGGGCTGTTAGCGTCAGCCGACATGACTTTCATGAGTCGCGGTCTAAAGGTACCTTAACATGGATGGATTTTGACAAACTATAGCTTGGTGGATAGCGGATGAATAGGCCAACAAGCTGACAAATCGGCAAGGCTTCAGACTTGACACTTTTGGAGTGAGCTCCAGACGTAGGTGCATGATGCCCCCAGTTTCGTTTTTGTGCAGTAAGTCCCATAGCATGGTCTGTTAGCGCCAGCCGACATGGCTTTCATGAGTCGCGGTCTAAAGGTACCTTAACATGGATGGATTTTGACAAACTATACCTTGGTGGATAGCGCAAGAATAGGCCAACATGCTGACAAATCGGGAAGGCTTCAGACTTGAAACTTTTGGAGTGAGCTCCAGACGTAGGTGCATGATGCCCCAAGTTTCATTTTGTGCAGTAAGTCCATAGCAAGGGCTGTCAGCGCAACCCGAC